AGGTTTTGCTTCAGACTTGGGCAAAGTATGACGGAAACTCTTGCTAAACATGCCGAGTGTTTTTGTCAAGAGCCCAGGTTTTGAACATGACAGAACTCAAACTGTTATCGATCGCACCATGCAGAGTTCTACATTATTATTCTGTTTTGTTTCCAATTGCTGAATAAATCATTTAAAACAACTTTGCGCGCTGAGCTTTTCCTTTTTTTTATACTAATAACAAAGATATAAGGTTAAATGCCTTACATTCCTCCTCTCCTATCGCATCAAAATTCCACTCTTATAAACCTGCCAACCATCATTTTAGGCAGGTTTTTGCAGACAACCCTATATCATCGTGTTTGCAATGGGACAAAGGACAAAGGTGTATTTATTAAGGCAATTCATCGTCTTTCTAAATTTTAACGCGTCAGGGCCGTAGTGCCGAAATGACACTTTTCCGGATACTCAAATGTTTTCTACTGTTACACTGAATAACCGCTACCAGTTTGATCACATAGTTCTGAAACACCCTGTATGTTTTCTATAGCTATAAATGACAGTTCTATTCATGCATATTAAGACTGGACATCTGTATCGGATGTTGAGGAGTTCTGGTTCCACATTTCCCGTTCTATTGTAGCTCAGCTCCGCCAACTCCCTTAGTGCCATCAATAATTGTGCCAGCCGAGTTTCCTTTCGACACCGTATTAGAATTTAAATGAAGCCAATCGTATCCAGAGGCAGTAGCAGCGCCAATAGATTTCCTGCTTTCGATAGCGAAGATTGCCAATCGTTGAATACGTCACTTCCGGTAAAAGCGGGACGATTTGCATCGGTGATTTAGTGTCTGCTAAGAAGGGTGGGGATAGGGACAACGGTTGGGGGTGGGAAACCTGAAGATATTCATTCAAACGTCGGAGATTGGGCATATCGAAAAGGGAAGGCAAAGGATTCGATAGTTTTGGGGGAAGATGGCGCCAAACACGTTGATTCTGCATTCCCACGTACGTCGGTGTATTTGCTGATACTTGGCTAGTAATTGAACATTTCGTCCGTCTCCGTAACTAACATTTTACAAATTTTACAGGAGAGCTAGAAAACAAAATCAGCAATAAATAAGGTTGTATATTACATACTGATTTTTTAGTCTACACGTTGCTGTTTTTTTGTTGTATTAAAATTGTGTAGAACTTTGTTATGGTATGGTTATTTAACCCGGTACGTGAATATTATTTTCGGAATTTTATCATTAAGAATTTTATTCCCAAGCACCGAACTGATATACAGTTACGTCACTTCGTGAGGTGAGAGACTACAAACAACAAAGCCTGTACGTGCGGAGACAGACGATTTGCTCTAAAAATTCCCTGGTGCCCACAAAAGCCTGTCTGATACTTCTGTGTAATATTTCACAGCAGGTGTTGCCGAACCGAAAAAGACGAAACTCGTAGACAGTGTAGTTGAAATTCGGTACATTCAAGTAAAAAATCGGTAGGAGCAGGAAATCAGGTCCGTCACAAAATCAGCGATGGATCAAGGGATGGTAGGCTCGGCAACACTGCGCACAGCATAGCATGGCTAACGTTGCCAGATGGTCGGTACTTTCACTAAGGACAGGGAAAACCTTTCGAGATGCCAGCGTAATCAAATGGGTGGGACTAATTTTTTGAGCCTGTTTGGCTCACTTGATCTCAGTAGGCGTGGGAAATATTGTAATTGCGGAGATTTACAAAAATTACATACCTATTATGTTTTTTTGATCTTATCTGATTCGTACATCACGAAAAACCATGTTAGTCATTTCCGTCGCCCTGTCTGTCCACTAATCTTATAACCGGCTATAACTTGAGCTCGGATTTCGATGAAATTTTTACACATTGTTACTACTAGACCATCGACGCAAAAGCATTTTTGAAAATCGCTCCAATGACTGGACAGAAAGAAGTCAAAAAGGAAAAAGAATAAAATTCGCTCAAACTTCGTTTTCGAAAGTTCCAGAAGATCCAGATAATTTTTGAAAAAAAAATTTAGAGGTACAAAGGCGGAGGTAAGGGTTGTGAGTGTTAGAGAGAGTTTATCTTTATTTTTTGATGTTAGTTCATTTACACGCTCCGAACCTTGATAATTCTACGTACCTATTAGACATATTTCGCACGTCATAGATTTCTCCGTAAACTCAGAAAAACATTCTCAGATGACGGATAGCGTACCTACCTGTCGCAGTTGCTGCTCCCGGCGGCGTGCAGCAGCCCTTGGTGAATGTTACACGTATTTCTGCCACGTCATTGCATGGCGTTGCATGAGAAGTGCATCGTCAACCTGCTTGGCGCCATTTTTTTTGTTTTGCAGATGTTCGTAGATAACTTTTTTGTTATAATAATAATCCTGTATGAACTGATGACAGCGTTGCCTGGGAAGTGCAGAGTCAACCTACTTGGCACTATTTTTTATTCGTGTATCAGAAAATTCGTAACGACAAAAAACTCATTTAAATTTCATTTAAGTAATTATCCAAATGATTTTTCGAATCTAGAAGGAATGTGAGCATACATTTCTTGTCAAACTGACAACGTTTTTTACAATAATATATTTTCCATGATGCTTCATATCAGCGAAACCTGCCAACAAAAACAACTGATTTATCTGTAGATAGAGTCGCATTAAGGTGGAGGGGGTTGTTCTGTGTCCATATTTTGTAGCTTTTTATACAGACTCATACTTTCTAATAACGCTTTTAAGTGATTTATTGCATTTCTCTATGTCCTTTTACTTTAGGTACTATCAAAATTCTCAGCTAATGAAAGTGTGGATGTGAAAATAAAAGTTCATGGATCAAATGGTTCTGAATACGGTCCTGGTCACTTGCAGATCAACTGAATAAACTCAAAAAAAAATCTCACATCGACAGGATAATAATAATAATAATAACATTTATTTACTCAATGTACAAAGATAACAAACAATATGAGTAAATAAATATAAAATCAAAACAGGCCCAAAAGAAGGCATCGCCTGTACATGGACCAATAATTTAAGTTGAAACTGTAGAATGCAAATGACAAAAAAGGACAAAAATTAGCTACAGTAGATTATGTATTTAGTTGATGTTCGTATTTATGAGTTTATGAATTTCAGTCCTAGATATAGAATGTAGCCACTTTTTTAAATTTCTTTTGAAACAATTTCCGAAACGTAAATATTTTAAGTCTTTAGGTATAATTTCATAAAATTTAGGCGCTAAATAGAGATATGATCGCTGCATTATAGATTTATGCGGTTGAGGAACTACTGTGCCACGAATTTTGTACCTGGTATAATGATTATGTTTAATTTTTTGGTCGGTGTTTACAAATTTATGGTAGTGAGTGATACTGTGTAAGAAATAAAGCTGTCTTATATCATACATTCGAACATCTGCATATAATTTTTCAGTAGGATAAAGTTTCGGTTTTTTAAATATCATTTTTAGAATACTTTTTGAAAAACATCTAAATTATAGATATGTGAGGAACATGCAGCTCCCCATGCTAATATACCATATGTGAGATGAGGCTCAATCAGTGCATGGTATAATGTTTGAAGATATTTTTCTGTCAATATATTCCCAAGGTATTTAATTTTGTAGGATACAAATCTAACTTTCTTTAAAATACAATTGACATGGATGTCCCATCGTAAGTGAGGATCCAAGGCCACTCCAAGGTATTTTATGTTGGGCACTCTATTAATTTGCATTTTTTGATTATTAATATTGAAGGAGAAATTTGTGTAATTTGGCAGATGTCTAGCATAAGATCCAAATGGTAAAAAATGTGTTTTAGAGTAGTTAATGCTTAATTTTCTACTGTTAAACCACCGAATAATTTTGATAAAATCATTTTCAATTACATTTTTCAGATCAGACCAGTCAGTGCCTTCATATAATATTGCAGTATCATCTGCAAAACTAGTTATTTTGCCAACACAATTAATTTGGAAAAAATCATTTAAATATAATATATTGAATAACAGCGGACCTAAGACAGTTCCTTGTGGGACACCACACTTAATATACATTTCTTTACTAAATGATCCTGATATCTGCACAGATTGTGGCCGATTTGACAAATAACTTTCGATCAGTGAGTACGCGTTTCCTCTGAAACCAATTCTCTCCAATGCTTCTAATAATAATTTGTGATTAACTGTGTCGAAAGCTTTCTTTAAATCAACAAAAATGCAGATTGAAGGGATTCTGTTATCCATATTTTGATGTATTTGATTTACAATTTTAGTTATTGCGTCCGATGTAGCCTTCCCTTCTGTAAATCCATATTGATTTTCACTTAAAATTTTGAATTTTGTGAGGTATCGAATCATTCTAGTAGATAAAACTTTTTCAAAAACCTTTGCTACACTGGATATTATTGATATTGGTCTATAGTTGTTAACAACTATTATTTACATGACATCCAAGATGTGACAGAAGAAGTTTGGTAGAAAAGTTATCAAATAATATGTAAAAAAAACAAGTTTTTTCAAAAATAATACGCTCTTGTCACAAACGTTCTTCAAATTAATGTGGACAAGACATTTTAACTCGATCGCATTGATATTTTTCGAGAAAGTATGGAACAAATGGGTCCAAAAAGATTCAAAATTTTCTGAATATGGTGTAAAACCTAATAATAAATAACGTGACAAACCGCCACAATAGGCGTCAAAACGTCAGGTACCATAAATATATGACGGCAGCCTATCTTAGATGTACGGCCAACCTTTAAGGAAAATACGTGGATAAACTTATTATTTGAAGCCAAAGCTTATAGTTTATCAAGGGTGGATCCAGGAGAGGGTCTTGGAGGTTATGCTCTTCAATTTTGTTAATCGCCATAACCCTCAACCGACTGAGTGAACGTTTCAACCTGGCAACGCCGAGCATTTTAATGTATCGTAAAACTTTTAATCTCATGATTGTTCAAGAGTTTTTACTTCTGGTCCAAGAATCTTAGTTGCCAATATCGTCTACGAGTACATACCGCTAAAGAATGCAGCATTTTGATTTAAGCTCATTTTGGCTGGAGGACATTACGGCCATACTGACAAGATATACACGGTTCAAAGTTATCTCTGTAGGCTCTCCGCATTGAGATCGAGGAATGCAGGACTTCCTTTGTTGTAACTGGTGACCTGTTGCTCTTCCAGCACTGTGAACCATGCACACCCCTGAAATAAATATAATGGACTATTTGTACGAGTACTGCACCATAAGAATATGAGCCAGCGTTCTCCCACTCAAAATTCGAACTCCGTGACAAAATTAGCATAGAAAACCTAGCAATCAACGTAATTATCACATGAAACAAATGTCACAATGTGCTTCGTAATCAACAATCACACGCCATTATTCTCTTGCATTTCAACGCATTCAGATTTATAACAGGGCTTTTTCATTTTAATTGGTCGCTTAGATGGTTGATCCTCCGTGCTACAATAAGCTGCTTTGTCTGTTGGCCTCATCTCGTTATGAGACGATCATTTAATGAATCGGTACAACTCTGAGTTGCTAAGGGGTCCTTTAAAGGACTACAATCGCGTCGTTGATTGCAGAGACATCGGTTGAGGGAAGGGCCAGTTTTGGTTCACAGGCTAGGCGAATTAAATTTTTGTGATGGCAAATATTTTCTGATTTAGGTTAATGTTTTTTGCATGCGACATTGCGGAAATCCAGATTACTCTTTCACTTTTCTCTCTGTATTATTGTCGAATTACTTTTCACGTCAATTGGAAGTTTTGCAATTGCGAAAAATTTCAAAAATGTGGTATTATGTTTTTTGAATATCACATGACATCACCAAAAACCACGTCACTCATCTCCTCTGGTCTGTCTGTCTATGTGTCTGTCCGCTAATTTTTACCCTTCCTGTAACTCGGGAAGCTCGGATGTTGATAAAATTTTGACACAAGGTTACTATTATGCCAAGGACGAAAAAGCTTTGTAGGTTTTGAAAATCGATCCTGCTGGGATAAAATCCCAATTTTGCGGCCAAAATTCTTAAAGGCGGTTTCTATTGTTTTTTCGTTTTTTTTTTCATCTCATAAGGCAAAACTTTTCCAACCCATAATTATTGATAGCTACCTACCTTTAGTAGGTGCTACCTACGTAACGGTATTGGCATTTATTTGTTTAAATTGTTGGAACTTCAGTTATTTAAATTTTCAGTTTTCAAGGACTATATGAAGTTTCTAGTACTTTGATACAGATAACTCAAGGTACCTAAGGATATGAATGCCCTCAATATGTGGTTTATATACTGATACGTCAAAGAAATGAATACTATTCGTCATAAATTAATTTGTTTATAGTCATCAATTAAGGAAAAGTAACAATTTTTAGAACCATTTTTCATAACACTCAAAATTATAATAAACATAGAAACAAATTCGGTAAGCATAGGTAATCATTACGTCAAATACTTGACTAGTTCCAGAATAACACGTAATTATACCGCTTTCTAAAAAAACCATAAAAATTGTCTTTTCGTTTATTACTGTTTGACTTTTAGGTCGATCAAACCACCCCACCCAGCTGGACCGACCCTGCCCTTCCCCAGTCTCTTCTAATTCTCAGTGGATATCTCTACCAATTTCAGCCCGTTCCGTTCCAGTAAGCGTTCCCTATTCACACGTCTAGAGAACGCCTTCAAGCCATATTTAAAGTGCTGCATCTTCCAAATTCGCAAACTTCCGCACATTAAAATTACGGCGGGGAAGAACGGAGCTTTTCTCGCAAATCAACGCTGTTTTAAAAAATGAGACGTTTTTTTGTAGCGTACAAAGGAAACACTTTTAATTTTTACAAAATTTAAAAAGGTCGTAAAATAACCATTAAGACAGTACAAATTTCTAAACCCTAGCCTTTTAGCAAACACATTTGATAATTTTTTATGCAAATTTTGCTCAAATCGGATTTCTCAGTTTGAGACAGATGTATCAATAAAATTGCACGATGAAATAACAACTTTGGTCGATTTTTTAAAGGTCAATACAATACTGTTTTTGTTATAACAATCTGCAAGTCATTTGTATTTTTTCGACTTTTGGCCGCAAAATCAGAATCACGTCCCAATCTGCGATGGAGCAAAAATCGACTTCTTTCTGTGGGGTTTCTACAAAATATGGTTCATGTCAGCAAATCAATCACTATGAAACAGCTGGTTAGAAGTATCCAGGAAGCTATACAAAATATTCCTCCCGCAACTGCTGCCAAATGTGGTGGAAAACGTGATCAAGAGTGCTCATTGTGTGGCTTCATGAGGCAGTCATTCATATGATGTCATTATACTTCGCACGCCTACTGGTTTCATATATAACTTCCAACCTTTATCTGATTATGAAATATTAAACTATCCTCAAATAAACTTTCCTAGAAAATACTCTTGAATCCACCTCAACACAAATGCTTGTCAGCGAGTGTAGCTTACCAGATATCCCTAGAAAAACAATAATTTGAATACATCTGAGAAGGGGCCGATACCAAACGGACATCAAGCACCCATAACAGAAATCTGTTGAGCCAACATGTATACAAGGCGGCCGTAAATGTCCAGATAATAGGCCCATTTATATGCCGGGTTTTATTTTATTTCCCCTTCTGTCTTCGGACGAAGACAGACTTTGGTATACACTGGCGATTCCATGGATCAGTAAAGTGAATTCAGAAAACGATTTTCAAATTTTAATGTTCAGAACCTGCATTATGTTGATTTGAATTGTTGTGGTTGGTTAAATTTCCTACGCCAACTGTTTAGCAAGCCCTAATTTGCTAAAGTTTTGTTTTCATTCCAGTATAACATTATAATAAAGCTGTAATCTTGGGCTTTTACTCAAAGAGGAAAACACCTCAATTCGTTTATGGTTAACTTTATTGTTCCAGCTTTGTTGCTAGGTATTCCTCTGCTTAGCAGAAGTGTGTCAGGGATTTGTACAATATGCACTATGCTGCAGAGCAAGCGCCGAGAACAAAAAAAAAAATGGCGTCGTGTAGAATGAATCTGCCCTTCCAAAGCGACTCCGTTATCAGTTAATAAAGGATTATATTCAGCACAAACTAAACCTTCTGAGAAAAAAGTCACTTAAACAGGTCCAGCGTGGCCACAGTATAGGAAACACTATACTGGGGCGCGGCAGTAATACGTATAGTGACAGAACACTCACCAAGGCCGGCAGCAGACGTAGCCAGTAGATACGCGATCCGTCTGCTGATAATATTTTAAGGGCTAATGTACAGAGAAATCTGCGATGTGTGGAATATGTCTAATAGGTGCGCGGAGTTATCAAGGTTCGGAGCATATACATGTTTTACCTTCTGCAGATTTTTTGAAAAATGTTTAGTTTCCTTTATGATGTCAAAAAACGAAGTTTGGGCGATTTTCTCCGCCGCTACAGGACTGATTTTCATAAAACTACAACTTCATCCTTGGAAAAATGATAACATTAAGTAAAAGTCTTAAGATCCGAAAAACATAATAACTCATTTTCGAAATACAATTACAATACTTCCCCGCCAGCAGGCGTATAGTTTTTCGGAAGTTGATCATAAAAAAGAAAGATATCCCTTAGATCTAGCAGCAACTATCTGCGAAACATTTCAGTTTACAACATGCGCTCAGCACTTTTGAATCGATGAATAATGCAAATATGGGTGCCGGGCGTATGTTGCGCAACATGTGCCACATGTTCTAACAAACTGCAACATCGAAATAAGACAGCACAAAGTGCCTTCTACTAACTTTTACCATTGCGAGAGTGAAAACAGCCAGCTGTTACTGTATCCGAGTTCACATTGTGGTGCTAACGGATGTCGTAAAATTTTAGGCACAAAATATTTATCGGATTTTTTAATGAAGAAATTTATTTAAACACTAACTAGTTACAATAAATCACAGCTCAATACTAAATTCAGATCACTTTCTCTCAGTTTTTCATAAATTCGCTGTCTTAATTGTTGTTCATCTTGGGCTTCCCAGCCTCCATGATAAACATTCCTAGACAGTAAAGCCCCTAAATCGTCTATTGGGCAAACCTGCGGCAAGCTTGGAGGATTTTCGTTTTTGGGAACAAAAGGTATGTTGTGTTGTCGAAACCAGTTTTGAATATCTCTTGAGTAATGGCGTGATGCTAGGTCTGGTCAAAACATGATATGGTCATTAGCATGATATTCGTGGATAAACTGAAGCAATTTGGAAAGGCAGTTATCAATATAGCTCTAACTATTCAAAGCTTCACCCCTCACTCTTCCCAACAACAAAGGTTGGGGATACACCCCTGTTAGAAATTGCGCACTAGACAAGAATTTTATCTGCAAATTCCACTTTATGTGTTAGACTGCAACATGCTATGACACATGTGCCCAGTCAGGTGCATTTTGATTTAAGGCATATGGATGGTTTAAACCTGTTACTTCTGAAGCGTATCACCATAGACTGTTTGAAACCTAATTGAGGAGATCCTTCATCTATGAAAATTTCAAAAATTCTTTACTCTTGATGCCAGGTTTACAACACTGTAGAGAACTGACGTCAGAGAAATGTCTGTAGGCAGGCCAAAAAGCAATAAAATCTGTGGCTATTGAATAAAATGTAGGAAGTCACTCAATCTTCTTGATGAAGTGTTTACAAGCTACTACAGGTTAAACAAGCTCTATCCCTAATGGAACTAGGTATAGATCCTTTATGGTCTAATTACGAGAAAGAGGTAGAACATAATCCCAGTTCTAGTCAAGTAAGTTATGCATCAAGGCCTTAGAGCAGAGATATTCAGCATGACTAAGGGATCTAAAAAACAGACTGGTCTGATATTCCGACCTTCATTCAAAGATCTGACTAGGATCGATATCAAGTTTTAATGTTTGCTGAGTCGTTGGCTTTAGTGCTGGTGCTTGAGATCGGTCGTAAGTCCAAAGCTAGTTTTTAAGCTTCACCTCTCCATTTTATACTCTTGGACCAACATTTCCATTTTTAGTGTGTACCATGGATCTTTCACTTCTGAACTCTTCCCTTGGTTGGCCCTTTCAGTATCCTAAGGACTGAATCCAGGTAAACTTTTCTATACATTTTTTGTTGCATAAATATGTGCCCTGACTTTAACGGTACTCATATTATATGCGGAAAACCCAGTATTTTGGCTGTGTCCCAAAATATTCCAGTACGAACTGGACTGTGACCTGCATAGATCAAATTTCTAACAAGACAAACTGATTGTTCAAACAGATACCAATTTGCTGATCAACAGCTCCTTGTCTCAATAATTTATTTGCCGTTATAAGAGTCATAAATTGCATTGCCTTTTAACAGGGACCTTCACAATTGCTTCATACACATTCGAACAAGGTATGTTGCAATAATACACCTTCATCCCGCTGAAGATTAATGCGGAAGATAAGTATTGCTCACGCTACTCCACGTCATTATGCACTGTTAAAAATAAATGGAACACGATGTAATTTAATGAAAGCAGCCAACTCCACTATCTAATTTGCTATATGATGGAGTCGGTTAGCGCTCCCACTCATCCCGTAAATATAACAATTAAACAGAAAACGACCAAGACACTGGCGATTACGCCAAGATCGCTCTGCTGGCAAGCATCGTGTGCGATGCAGGGACGCATTTTGTGCTCTACGGTTGGAAAATGACTTTAGAGTGGTTAACCTGACTTCACATATTGGTAACGATTTGAAATATAAATTACGATAACCTGAAAACCTTCCAGACACTGCTCTAATAAGATTTTCTTCTTTCTTGGCACTGTCTCCTACTATTGGAGGTTAGTTATCACAGAAACAAACTTTGCAATATCTTTAGCGTTTCGTATAAGGTTTTCAAGCTACAAACCAGGGTCCAGTGTCTAATATTTCCTGGGTCATGCTCTCCTTGTATGTTACCTTTAATACTAAGTTGAAGAATCTTTTACTTGCTTCTTTAAACATATTTATGCAGTCTCATGGTGAGGTTCATGTTGTTGCTCTTGATATCACTAAAGCTGCACTCTTATGCAAACTTTCATCCTATGACCTCCCAGAGAAGCTTCGCAGATGGGTGGCTAGCCTTGTCTCTGGCCGCAAGATGTCCGTCGTTATTGACGGGTTCTCCTCTTCATTCCTCAACGTCAACGAGGGTGTTCTCCAGAGTTTGGCCTTGGCTCCGATAGAGGAATATACATATGATATGGAAGAGGACCAGCTCTTCCATATGAACAACTTTCTTTATTGTACAATCAATCTAAACCACAGCTTTGCTGATGACAGCACTCTATATGCAGGAATTTGGAGTGACAAGCCTATCTCTGCCGGTGAGCTGGAGGAAAGAAGACTAGCAGCGACTTCCTCTCTGACGAGAGACCTGGAGGCTATCACCGTTTGGGGATGCAAAAATCTTGTACAGTTTAATGCTTCCAAAACACAGTACTGTACCTTAAAGATCAAAAGTTTCTATGGATGGCCGAGTTCTACCAAAGAGTCTTTCATTTCGGCTGGTCGGAGTCCACATCATCGAGGACTTAATCTGTCACGAACACATCTTGGCAATAGCGGTAGCTGCTGGGAAAAGCTTAAGCATTTGTTAAGGGCCGAGAAGTACTTTTCTCCACATGACCTCCTCACTCTTTACAAGGCACAGATAAGACCTAGTCTTCTGTATTGCTCACATGTTTGGAGTGCTGCCGCCCCGACTGCATTATCCATGCTCGATGCTGTTCAGATACACGGGATATCCATCCGTCAGCGATCTAGCTCTTTTCTACCGCAACGCCAATGACCTTTGCTCCTCAGAGCTCTCCTGCATGATGTCGCTGCGCGATGTGCCTGCAAGACAGACCCGCCTGACTTCAGCCTCCCATCCTAACCGAGTCGAACTTCGTACATCCAGAATTGGACGATACGACCGCTTCTCTGTCGATAAGGTATCAAGATTCTGGAACAATCTACATGAGGAGGCTTTACTCAGTTCTACCAACCTTAGGTAGTTCAAAAATTGGATTAACAAGATTTCTTCAAGCTCTCGAAGTAATCTTACAGGCACTTAGTGCCTTCATTGCAGCCTGGCTGTCGGAAAAGATTGTTATCCTTTCCCTAAGCCCACCCCTCTCCAAAATGAGGGATACACAAGCCAGAATCGCAACGATTTCCGCTTGGAAAATCGTGGTGTATCCATCAAGAGGCAGAGTCCTAGGCCCCTAGACCCCGGCGCCAGGGCCCTCTTCGGTGACCGAGTCGTCCGTGTACCAGACTTGCCCACTCACTCCAGTGAGCCTCCGGTAGCCGGCGTCCCACTCCTCCCTCTTTGGATACTCCAGATTAAACATGCGGTTGAAGCGATACTCAGGGGTAACTACATCGCCCCTGCTCAGAAGGACAGGATTCTCCCTTTGCAGTTCGACCAGGATGGCAGTATGAGCCTTGACGGAATTCAAGAAGGCTCAGCTGCCCTGACCCCACAGTCGATGTGCGACTACTCTCTAGATCTAAGGGCGGGAGATCCAGCAGAGTTTCCATTGCATCTAATGGGGTTGTCCGCAATGCTAATACAGGCTTCAGATCAACTTGGATGTCCTGGAATGTCTGAACAATGGATCTCCTTGGATCGCCTCGATCTCCTCGCACTGGGATAGAGAATCTCCGCCGTGGCGACTCCTCAACTTCAACCTACCATTACAAAGGAATGTGTCAGCGCTAATTACCAAGTAACTCTGCATTTCCATGTACTCATAATAGTAACGCCTAGTATTTTACTACGATACATCTTTTAGAGACTTCCTATACTTCAGAACGACCAAAGCACCAGCCTCTCAGATCAGATAGTTATTCGTTTCCTAAGTTATTGTTAATTTTGGGTCAGATAAAAACGGATCAAAATGCCTCTCTGGCATTTGGAAGATGGAGGGTTTATAGGTATGTTAGCTGTCACACTGTGGTTCAAGCAAAACTACATCTTGAATTGAATTAGTGGCACCCACCGGCAGGCAACTGAGCATAAGTTTGGAACAGGCCGCTGCTGCGATATTTTCAGCTGCTATCGAAGTAGCTATTCGTTAACTTGCACTGTTCTCTCTGGAACACGAGGGCTCTTCATAGTTATTTCCCAAAAAGAAATCTTGTACCGGCTCCCAAAACAAAGCACCACACCCACTCGCGTCTCTCTGTGATCTGCTGGTCCCTTAACGTACTACTGTTCTGTTTCTGTGAGAGGATGAATACGATCAATGAAAATATTCCTCATGAAAAGATTCGGAGGCTCTCTGGTCCCTTAAGATCAGCTTAAGTATAATAAAGTTGGACATGTTTTATGCAATACTGCAAGTAATCGTCTAGAAGTACAACGAAAGACTGAAATTCTGTTCCTGTTTCTAACATGGTGGCATATTCCCAAGTGGAAGTAAAATTCTTATTCTTTGGAAGCCATGGTACCATGTCGATCTTTTGTAGAATACCCCACATGGAAGCGATGAATATGCATGTTTCACTGGACGTGAAATAAAACCAGTGATGTGACCGAGGCATAAAATCTTTCAATTCTGTATTTGTGCGGCCAGTAAAAATTTGATCAGCTAGACTACGGCAAGATAAGTTAATGATAAAAAAATTGTCGTTACTCCTTCCAAGCCCTCAATTAAACTGAAGACTTCCTGCAACAAAATGGTTGAGAAAGATTCAGCTGTCGGTGTTACTTGTACGATAATGTGATAAGATCTCCAAATAGCGTTGTTGACAATGTGAGAGAAAGCAATCTTGAGACTCCGTCCCTGCTTCTAACAGCATCATCGTCGTCTACGTTCCCTAGTGGCGCTTTGCAAAGAGCAATTGTGTTCTGTTCCCGGTCTGTGTAACAGTTTAATTTGCACATTAGCTGCGCCGACAGAGAAAGGCTGAATTAATTAACGCCATTATATCGGCTATCATCTGTTTTAATTGCCTGGCCGGGGCGGCCGCCATGTTGTTTTTACTAGAAATTAAAATGGCCGTCGCCCTCTAACAATGGTGCAGTCATTATATAGCTGGGATAATCGGGATACAGAGATGGTAAATTGCCAGCGAGATAACGCAACACCGGACGAAATTGCTAGTGACTGGGATGCGTTGGGTGGACAGGGGCACAGTGTGTTCGATTTGGACTGGGGTGATTTAATATTAGAACAATATCAGGGGCAGAGACGTAGGTAGCTCCCATAGCTAATATAAGGAGTTTTCAACTGTATACTCACTGGTGTTTAAGAAGTAGGGGGAGTCCGGGAGAGTTGGACCCCTTTCAACTCCAACATGCATAAAACTGTAATTCTTCATTGAAACTTGGTCGCTCAAAGACATGTGCGTCAGATTGCCTAATAGCTATTACTGTGTGATATAGAAATCGCTATTAATCTAGTGGTTTAGCTGTAACTATTGATTTTCGAAAAATTGATATATGGGTCAAGTCTCCCCAACCCCTGGGAGAGATGACCCGATCATAAGGGAGACTTGACCACATCTTTATATATATATATATATATATACAGAGAAATAAAGACAAACTGTTTTCAACTCTCAAATAGTTTATTTAGAATATCAGCATTAACTACAAACGAAACTTCTACATTCATTGCTGGGTTGGAATAATCCAAGACAAAACTAACAAAAAGTTGAATTTTCTCTAGAACCTAAGGTGTCATCAACACATAAAATACAAATATTAATAATTTCAGTCGCACTCATGGCATATGAAGTTTTCATTGTCTTTATTCGTCAGTCCTACACATATTTCATGTGCATACCTTTTACAGGAAATGCAAAGGCGCATATCTAAAACCTCTTCGTTTTGGCAAACAAAACAATACCAAGGGTCACTTGGATCTTGAGCCTCGTCACCACTCGAGCTATCAGCATATTGGATAACGCACTCGTCCTCTGATTCTGTTTCACTGGATTTAACGCGTTTTTTCAACTTGGTCTTTCTTCTTGTGCTTCCATTTCCAGTCGAACTCCTGAAATTTCTCTTTCTGGATTTATGCTCGACTATGGTTGAACTATCTTCCCGTTGCGTTTCTGTTTCATCATCTTGAAAGATGTTCTTTTTAATTCCTCCTACCCTCGAGTTTTTCGCAGCCATCGTTCGGTTCTCCTCAATGTTCCTTTCGGTGAGTATCCCAACAGTTGCCGGATCAGCTACAGGATTATCTTCTTTTTCAGGAGTTTCGGTTAAGATTTTTGTTTTTCCTGGCTGACAACCATGCCGTGTTTTCTTCCTGGGCGAAGCTTTTGGGTAAGGCCTTATTGCTGCCGGAGCTACAAGTGGAACCTTATCTAAGTGAGCACCATTTTGATCACAACGCATAGAGGGATTGTCAAAGGAAGATGACGGGTTTTCTATACTATTAGAAAAAGTCAGTCAAGCCGAATGGTCTTGAAGAGTCGAATGAGCAGAAAGCATATCGTCATCGCCCAAGAAACTTCTGTCAGTGACTGCAGAGCACATGAATTCTTCCTCAGTGAAAATATCAGGATTAAAAGGATGAATGCCGCTCTTTCTAAACCCACTAAGGATGTTCGCCTGACTAAAGGCGTCTGACATCAATGTCTTTATAAGCTCCGGTATATTATATATCGTCACCGTTTTCCCTGGATTTGATAGCATCCAGTTATTCAAAACTCTGTTATAACGTGACTTAAATGAAGAATAAACAGCAACATCTAACGGTTGCAGCTTACCGCTGCAATGCGGAGGGATCGTTACTATTGTTATACCATTCTCTTTGGCAAAGTTGACTACATCTATGCTTATATGGCTTTCATGATTGTCGAATATAAGTAAAACAGGATTTTCTTTGGATGCTCGGGAATACTTTTTGAAATGTTCCATGAACTTCAAAAAGCTCTTTTTGGTCATCCAACCACTGGAGTATGCGTCGCCATCCGATCCCTCTGGTCCATTAGATACAAAATCTTCCCGATATTTGACACGAGGAAATACAAAGAATGGTGGTATGACATTCCCAATTGCATTAGCTGCACAGCAAATTGTTACAAGAGTTCCTCTGTCAGCAGAAGTTGCTTGTCCCACTTGCCTTGATTGTTTGCTTGCTAACACTTTTGGACAGTCCTGAACAGTAGTACATCCTGTCTCATCACAATTAAAAATATTTTGTGGTTCAAACTTATATTTCTCCCGAACACGCCTCAGATTATCAAAAAAGTCACCAACATTCTTCTTATTGAAACTAGTCGCCCTTGATAAACTAGTTGCTTCAGGCGTTCGCAGACTTATTTCTTTATTTCTATGAAGAAACCCACGGAACCAGTCTTTTCCAGCTGAACAGTTTCTTGACCAACTGTCTGGAACTTTTTTGGAATTTGATGAAGCATATTCATAAGCTAATTTCATCGCTTCTATACGAGTAAGACCATAATTCATTTTACTGCAGTTTATTAAATATCCAACCAGCAGTCTCTCTTCTGGAATTGTGAAAATCTGAGAAGCCTTATGCGAACTACCCTTTTCCTCAAAAACTCTCAGTTTTTCTTCATTTTTTGTGTACCGACGTAAAGTCGTCCTGTTTATCCCATACTTGATAGCTGTTTTCCTCAGAGATGCACCAGATTTCACATCTGCAATAGCATTTTGCAGCTCCTGTTTTATAAGTTTTTTACGAGATGAACTGCATTTGCTCTTGTATTGAAACGGCATATCTGAAAAAAAGAGTTGAAACGATTCTCTTTTTGTCGGACACAACAAAGGGACATTTGAACCACTGAGCAAATCTCCCTAGGCATGATGGGTCAAGTCTCCCTAACCCGACCTAGCTTACTCGATTTAAAAATTACGGAAATTAGTTTAAGCTGAGGAATAAAACACAATTGGTTCTCAAAACTAGAATGATTTAGTAATCTAACTAATATTAAGGTCATTTCATACCTGATTATTTAAAGACGTGGCGTCAAAACTCAAAATATTCTAATTTCTAACTTCTTAGCACCAAACACGTGCTTCCTTCGCTAACTGTAGAACCGTTTTGCTAGAAGCCAATATGGCGCCGTGCGTGTGACAAGCATCGAGTAGGCATGCAGCGGCCTGTCAGTGATCTAAATCGCGCGAAATTCAAAATGATTTATGCGGTGTGGAGCATATCTCCCACCTGGTCAAATCTCCCGGACTATGTTCATACATTTCACGCGACTGGTAATGTCCAGATCCTGACTCAAAGAAGGAAGGATGTATCACTTGACGATGTCCAATATAAGGCTCTACCATCTGCAAGCCTTTAGGCCAGGTTTAAAGTTACGTAGCATTCGCATTCATGTTATGGAAAAAAGAAGGAAAACCTTTCCGTATAATGGAATCTGTGATTCCACGCATCAAGAAATAACACTCATATGTCAACGGATGGAAATTATGAAGTTAATACACTACACGCTGTCGATTAAGATAAAAGACATAACAGGACTAGAGGCGGAAGTTTCTCTATAGCACGTTAGCTTTCCAGTACTTTTGAATTGAGTGTAGCAAAAAACCTAACCTGTCTTTTGATGCGTTGCTTTATCGTTGACAGTTTTTGATGACACTGCCAGAAAATCTTTATTATTTTATGTTGTCAATTCGAACTTTAAACTATTGAATTCTTACGGCACGCATATTATGTAAAAAACCTATAAAACGTCAAAAAAAAACACTTGAATGCAGTATTGCAGACTAGATAGTTTTTAGGGTGCAAATAGTTCATTCCACGTTTGCTCGCTATCATCGCTGTGAGCGTCCATCTATCGAGGAATGACTCAACCAAACGCATTATTGGTTGTATATGTTTTGTGAAGCCGAGTGATCTGTAGTTTTCATCTCTGACAAGAAAGTAGGTGGATTAGCAAGATCGCATCTGGATTGACATAATGTCACCGTTCAAGATACGTAATACTCGTGCCGCACATTATGTCGATTTTTTTTACATTGTATTGGTTTTTTGTGACCTTATGTAGGCTTTTCTACAAGACGTTAACTTAGCACTAGCTGATGGACACGTTGTGAACTCGTTTTGTAGTTGTACGTCATGAGGCTTAGGTTATCAAAGTTTGGCTCTGATGTGATGTAAAACCTGCTTCAGAGATAGCATTACTGGAGATCTAAGCTGTAAGTTGTATACTATAGCTAGAAGCAAACGGCAATGCATAGTGAGGATTTGCGTGCTAATAATATGTTTTCATGATAATTCCATTGGGTTCTTGTCTCAAATACACTTACTTGAGACTCAAAGCTACAAATGAAATGCGCATCCACTTATTTTTATCCATTCTGGAAATTCCATATGCAATGTCGCTGAACTTCAAAAATGAGAGAGATAAGAAATAATTATATTCCCTGTTTACACTGTCGAATTACAAGTGATATACACACAAAAAAGAATGCTATTGATTCAAGAGCATGAGTTTCTATGAAATTATGATACTGATTCCAGTTCATAGATACTTCATATGAGGTAATGTCGTTGCTTTGAAGAAACGTAGCACTTATAATTGAGAAATTGACCTTAATTCAAAGATATATGTCTTAGAAACATATCGAAGTCACGGTTCCTCAATTGAACAAAGTTGAACCAAGATCACTGTTTTTTGTGTGTACATACTAACAGTAATTACTAACAACGCGAGGGCGGTGGAGATTTCCCGTAATTCTCCTCAAAGTTTTTGAAAACAAAAAAGAAACGTTTAAAAATCGTAATTTTTAACTTTGAACATAACCTGTCTTCAGAAAAATACATATAAATAACCCTTAGGGCACAGCTAATAGATATACTTCATTGGCAGCATATTCAGTAATGATTTTCTCACACAGCAAATATCACTTATTTTATACACATGCAGACCAATACACAATCATCCAGATGCGATCTTGCTATTCAATCAACTTTCTTCTCAGAGATGAAATCTACAGACTACTCGACTGCACAAAACATATGCAACCAACAATGCGTGTAGCTGAGTCATTCCTCACAACGATCCTAGTGAGCACCCTAAAAACTACCTAGTCTGCAAGATGACATTTTAAAGTTTTTTTGACGTATTATTTTATTTATCATTTAGCTGCCTTGCGTCTGATAGCAATGCCAGTAGGGCGTAGGGATGTTATAATATCGTAGCTGGCCTTTTCACTTGTATAGTCCGGCAACGCTGTAAGATGATCAATACTTATGTATGTATATGTATAATGGTAAGGACCTGTTTGGCTGACTTGACCCATTTAATTTTCTTAACGTAAATGTTTCTAGCTAGATCAAAGGGACTAACAAAATCCTTTATGAACTGACAGCGTTGAGGAAGTACAGAGTTGACGCCATTGTTTCAATTCTGCTGTCACCAAAACGTGAACCTACTGTAGCATTTCAATTGAACTTAAGCAAAAGAAAACGTTCAGGATTAATATAAAATATAACTTTAGATTTCTCGAAATAAAACCAATGTGGCTTAGGTACCTTATTGCCCCAAGCCGTTCGAATATTCCACGACCCTGATGTGGACCCTGTCTCCATTAGTCCTCTTCTAATGGCGTCCTCCAGCGAGTATGAGCCCGGTGAGTCTATTTCGCAGGCAGAGCACCCGAGCAGCCGAGATAGCCACGAAAATGAAGTAATTAAAACTATAAAGGCCAGGTTAATTGTTTCTCCTACCATCACGTAAATTAAAACAACCCAATTACGATGCTCCATTGTCGCGCGATTTTCTTTCTCGTTCTAACCTGTTACTGTCTCTTTCCCGCACATTCAGCCGTATTAGGGTAGAGAGAGTAATCGAGGAAAATTGACTGAAAATTGTGGAGAGTGGGAACAGTGTCTGTTTTATTTTATTTCTCAGAAATTAATAGTATTCTAAGTACGTATGAAATAAAAAGGTCAGAATACAGCACACTTAAATAAGATGACATATGGCTCATAGTATTTAAAATTTAACAAATCGCGTATGTTGTATATAAAAATCAAGCAACATCTAAGATTAAGGGCCAATTTCACCAACAACAGTTCCTTATTCTCCACCTATAGGGTAACAGCCCGTTAAATACAGCGAATGAGCTTCAAGTTCCAATCAACAAATTTTAGCAATCAATAGCTATGATATGTTGAAAACAAAATACTGTCAAAGTATGAGATGACATCTTGTCATTGAAACATGATCAGCTTATTGAATATTAAGAAATTTCATGTAATTCATTCAAAATTTAAACAGATGTTTGATTTTTGAATAAAATTCATGTTTTAATAACCATTGTTGGTTTTTTATTCATGATAATATTATTTTCTTCAATTGATATGCGATTTTACTGATTAAAGATCATCTACTGGGTATTTTTTCCTATAAACCTGTTGCAGATAGCCATTAAGCACCTACTTGATGACTGGCTCTACCAAAAAGTTCATAGATATTGCTCGTTTCCAAACCTTCATTCATTTACTTGTCGTTCATCAGAACCATTATGGCACCTTAGATTGATATTCTCATAAAACCATTCTGGTTTTTTAATATCCATACATCCATAAAGTTGAATATTTTTCGTTTTTCAGGAACTTAACAATCATCCACACTATATTCACAGCGATTAAGAAATACCCAAATATATGTAGTAGATCTACCAGCAAACCTAAAACCTGCAGAAAAACAAGAAATTTGCAATATTTTTCTTTTTTCTCTGAGTAGATATTCTGGGTTATATTATATTAGACGTTATTTGAATACAGCTGATTATTGCATTTCAAGGAGTGACACATGTGTGGGCTCTGTCAACTCTTGATACCAGTCACAAAACATACTAAGGTTTAATTCCATGCTATTCAATCACAACACGGTGACTTGTGTGGTTGTCAGCGGCCATTTTGTGAGGGT